AGTGCCACCACACCTGCCTCTCAACTGCAAGGTCCTGAGTTCTATCCCCAGTAGTGGAAAAAAAAAACAAAGAAAAAGAATGTAATTATCCAAATACTTCCTCACCAAGAACACACTGCAGCCACAGCCAGGTACTCCTTCCTCTGAGTATTGGAAGCAGTTTATTTTTCTCACAGTTCATATCATGAATGTTTATTTATATCTGTCTTCTCTACGAAGCTGTTAAGTTCACACATTGAGAATTCTGTGTACTAATTCCAACCACAGACTTAATATAAAACTATGTCAATAAATATTATATTAATTGGGTAAATTAAACTTAGAAGAAATAAATTATTCAATTTCCATATGAGGTACTGGTGAGATAAATACAATAGAGATAATGCCCCAATCTTCTAGTTGCTGAGAGTGAAACCTAGTGCATGTGAAGTTAAAATTTCAATTTTAAGATGAAATTTTAGTTCAAAATTTTAATTGATATTTATTTATTTGTCTTTTGAGGAAAGATTATATATGTTGCTTAATTTTAAGGTATTCTTTAGATCTGCTGTGTTCATCTCCTAGACTTGTAATATTTGCATATGTGACAGAACATTTTTTTAGAGAAGCAGCTGAAAATCCAACAAGGAATTTATTTGTTCAAATAAATGAATGAATGTTCAGTGAAGTACAGGGACCACAGTTGGTTGATCAATCAGGTAATATTATCATCACGATGTATATTCTTTGTTCTCTCCAAATTTATAATCGTCAGTGAAAGACAAGACTGTATGCTGTGTCCCCTTTTCTACATCTGCAGGCAAATGATATTTGCCTGTTCCCTGATTATGGACCCAAACTGCTGTTCAATCTTATTTAGACAATGGATACCACAAGCTTACGAGTTCAATCCTGAACCAATAACTGGCTGGATAAGGATGTGATAAGATGCTTGGCTTGCTTCTGGCTTCTGAAGCAGTCATTAGCAAAAAGAGTGAAATTCTGATTGGATACACCAAATCACTGTTCTCCTTAGAGCTGAGGTCAAATTGCACTAATGCCACATAATGGGGGAGAGTGGGAAAGACGTTGGAAAATCACCAGAAATATCCAGAAGCCACAACTATGATTAGCTCCTTAGAGACAAGAAAGGATCTTTAGCATACACAGAAGTCCAAGGAAAACTATTGTCTTAAAAATGTATTACTAATTATTTATTACAGGGGAAGCAGAAGTGCATTTATAAGTTCTTTTACTTGTTTAATTCACTTAGTGTTTCTTCTTCGTAATAAAATACGTTTTCAGAATGTTGTTGATTGAATGTTTGTATCCCTCCCCTTCAAATACATATGCTGAATCTCTAACAACCAGTATAATGGTACTTGGCTGGCGGGTGGAACTTTGGGAGATAATTAGGTTAAGGTAGGATCTCTATTATGGGACACCAGAGCTAGTGAGGCTTTTCCCTGTTCACACACTGGGAAAAGTCCTGCGAGTCCACAGTGGGAACACAGTTGTCTACAAACCAAGAAGGCAGCCCTCAGTCCAGCCGAGCCACATCGCGCTCTGAGATGGAACTTCCAACCTCCAGAAATGGAGGAAAATAAAATCTGTTGGTTAAGCCATTCAGTCTACGGTATTTTGTTATAGCAGCCAGAACAAAGACACAGAATTGTGACATTTTCTATTTTCTCTTTTAAATTCAAATCCACTTTGAATGCTCAACATCACGTCAGCCACAGGGCTCTCTTTTTATTTATGATGTAAATCATCAGAATTATCTACCTGAATTTTCAAAATAAACATATCAGTATCCCACACAGCTGTTACAGCTTTTTGACTGGAAGCACTTTTTAAAACTTCAAAGAGAAGTTTCTGGTCAGTGAAAAGTGTTCTTTTTTTTATTTTTTTAATCACTCTTTTCTCTGATATCAATAAATTGAATAAATTTGATTTTTAAAACATGATTAATCAGTTGCTTTGATTTCTCAATGACACTGCTTGCAAGAAGGAAAATTGTACCTCCAGAAAAATTCAATAAATTAAATGATGGAATCAATAAAATAAAAATGTACTCCAAATGAAGAGAACTAGCCTTTTCACTATCATAACCCATCCCACCCTTACCCCCTTCATTACCAAGTAAGCACACATATACAGGCACACACAAAGCCTTCCTGGAGTAAAGATAGAATGTACCATTCAGGAAATTCAAAAAAGAGCAAGTTACTGAGTCTCCAAACTAAATGTGCGCTTTCAGCAGGGCATTTTTCTGGGTGGATCAGTATTTAATTCCCACTCCTCATCAGCAAACAAGACAGGCATCATCAGGCCAGTTTGGGCCACCTGAGTTGACCTGCAAATGCCAGGGCTGAGGCCCAGGCTTACTGGGTTGACTAGGCCAGTAGGTTCTCTTTTCTCGTAAGTGCCTTTGAATATTGTTGGTAAATCCTGGCTGTGATCTTTACCCTCAGGAAGGCCTTATTAAGAGTCCTAGGTTTATTTTTTTAAACTTTCATTATCCTTAATTATCATCAAGTGTCAGTTCTCACTGTTCCCTTGAACAATCCTACTGTTTCTAAAAAAGAACATTTATCAATAATAAGGTCAAAGGGTGCCTGTTCCAGGTTCCAGCTGGGTGCTATCACTCACTTTTTCCATTTGTGCCCTGCCCTTGATCCAGGAAAGTTAGTTTATCAGGGAGGGGCGCCCTCCGCTTTCTTACATCCGGGTTGTGAAATAGTCCGACTTAGCCAGGAGATTCATTCTGTGGGAATCTGCACGGGCTATGACTGCTATAGAAGGAACACAAAGCTAAGGCTCTGAGAAGACAGTGTTAATCTTTCTTTTCCCTTAGGAAGAAGAAACATTCTTTCCCAGTTTCTGTCACACTAGCTTGGAAAGACTTGCCTGCTTTAGCTCAGCACCCACCCCACAACATACACACGTCAAGTGTGCAGATTCATTAACAACAGAATTGAATGTCCTGACAGAAGGTAATGTCAGGCCAAGAACAGTCACACCAGTGTATGTCAAAGGACACAGCTTTACCACAATGCACACAGCCTAGTATTTCACAGAAGCAGTAATAGTATATATCCTACAGAGGTTTGTACAAGGTTTGAACGAGCTACTTCATGCAAACCACGCACAACGATATCTATCTAGCATACAGCAGGTAGTCAATGAGGAGGAGGCAGAGAGTAATGATGATGACTGGAACGGAACAACCCCATGTTGCAAAAAGAACATTGCTCTGGAGAGCAAGAGATGTGAGTTTGAGTCCCACACTTCTGCATATGACTTGTGTGACTTTGGAGAACTCATTCAAGGTCTCCAAGTCTCAAACGCTTGAGTTAGAAAAGGAGAACATTTTTAGTCTCATACAGCTTTCTCAAGAAATTTTAGCGTCCAGTGGGATAAAGGCTTTGAGGGCCTGTCAATAGCTGTAAAGTGGGCTACACATCACAATGGCCATAAACCAGAGGCACATGCAGCATATGTAGAAGTCAGTTAAGTTCCTGTTACGGAATAGGTCTTCAGCAATACTTACTATCTGGGTCATAGTACTCACACCAGCATTGTCATCATACCCTCATCATCCTTTCATTAAAATCTGCTCTTCCATTACTGCCTTGTTTTCATTCATTCAAGCAAGGGTGATTCTCAGCTGATAATGTTGGAAAGCCTGTACCCATTGGTAAACAGTGACTATTCAAGGAGTTTTGTTAAAAAACACTCGTTTCATATTGACTGCTTGAATAAAATATCTATAATGCCATGTGACACATCTCAAAACAATCTGAAGTAAATTTTCAAAGCACTTCCCCATATATTATCTTATTTCACCCTCCCTACCAGATTCTGAGTTATTTTATTATTTTTTTTACAGATGAGGGAACTGGCTTTTTTAAAAAAGGAAGCATAGAACCAGAATGGCTCCTGATTGCCTTCAGAATCAAGTTGAGAGTTTAGCATCATGGTTAAAAGTATGTAACATAAAACAGGCTACCTGGAATTCAAATTCTAGCTCTGCCATGTACCTCTGTGTGACCTTGAGCAAGTTAATCTCGCCATACCTTAGTTTTCTTACCTATAAAATGAATGTTATAAAAGCACTTAACTCATGAGGTAGTTAAAAGGAATCAATTAAGCCAACACATGTAAAGCATTTAGAAGAGCCAAGTACTAAAAGAACATTAGGTATGGGCATAACTTAGCCTGACACTGAGTGTTCTCAATGTACAATCCAAACTCATTCTCTTTCCAGACATTTCTCATCTCTGCCTTTGAAAACACTGTATGGTCCAGCTAGCCTCATCCACGGCAGACCTGACACAATGCATAACATGGTACAGATTCTTGATAAGTGTTTGCTGAAGAATAAATGAAGGAAGCCACTTCTACATTTCTCCACCTTTGTGACCCAGTCCTCTCATGAGGCCATAGTACCTTTTCATTTTCCTCCAAAAGTACATAGTACTGTGGACTTTGGTAGCATCAGCAAAACCTGTACCTAGTTCCACTTACCTTTTTCAAATTACTTTTGCTTATCTATGCATTACCACCATAAAGTGTCCTTTTTTTTCCATCTTAAGTCACCTTTGAATGTTTCCTATGTATTGCAACATGATGACAAGCCACTGAATTTATTTCTCTTCTCAGTAAATATACATAAGAAGAAGTGATGTCCCTGGAAACATTTCTTCAAGTTTTCAAACATTGAAAATACTGCATTCCATCTCCCAGAAGGTTACGGTCATTGTGCTGTCCAGTGCTGAAAAACAAAAGACTAACAGGGCAGGGGATTTAGCTTAGTGGCACAGTGCCTGCCTTGCAAGCACAAGGTCTTGAGTTCAATCCCTGTTACAAAAGAAAAAAAGACTAACAGTATACTTGTGAATTTAATATATGTTGTATCTTTCAAAACACTATTAAGCAAGACAATGTCATACAATATCCATTTGAATTCTTGAATATTTGGATTGAGAATATCAATGAAAAATTTATATTACCATACTTTCTCCATAGCATCTCGGAACAGGTCTTCATTTGGGTTTGGGTCTTTTTTTAATTGGATATTTCATGTTCTCAGGGGAAAATGTCTCAGTGGGCAGACAGAAAAAGAAACTTCAATATTTTTTCCATTTCTTCTCCCAAATGTGAAATGACATTTGCTTCTGGTTTACTGGATGAAACAGATAAAAAGTAAGGGAATCTGGTTACATATGTAATACTCAAGAGGGCATCCTAGAAATTAGTTGGAAATCAGTATCGTGTCTTTGTAACTCTTCTTTGCCTAATATTTCTCACACTGTTACTCAGAGAAGTAAACATTATTGGAGCAAGTCTTAGAATTAAACTTTGCAGTATAATTGGTATGCTCCCATTATTCCTAATTTTAATGCATCTTATTTTATTGTTCCTGCTTTTTAAACCAAACCACAGGACTGAAGTCTCACTATCATCAGGAACATGGGAGTTTGGCCTGTGGTGGAATTTCTTAGGGAAAAAGAAAAAGGTTTTCTTTTCTATTGCCTCTCTCTGATTTTCTTCCTTCCTAAACCAAAACTTCAGTGATGGAACTACCCAACATTTTGCACTATTTTCCAAATTGCAAAATATTTGATCTTATAAAGAGACATTCTACTTATTCAACATGCTTATTTTAAATGTTCTTTAGTTTGTGGTGGTATTTTACTCAGGCATCTTACAGAGAAGTTTAGTAAAATGTAATAATGTTCCTACAGCAGAAGAGAAAATCCTCCACTATCAGTAGAGTTGAAATTGTGAGTGTAAAATAATTATTGTAGGTTGACAGGTCAGTCATTCAACTGTGCTCCCAGTAAAGGCGTGGAGCATTTTTCATAGTTACTTGGCTGGAAACACAGTCATAAAATCCTTTGGCAAGAATTTGATTTTTTCTTCCTTTAAAATTTAGTCAAGAATCTATGTACTAAAGGAAAACCAGCCAGTGTGGATAGATGACTTTCTGGAGTCCTACCTAGCGAAACTGGTTAGACAGTAGCTTTTTTACAAGGGTAACCAGAGTGTAAAGGTAACAACATGACAAGAAGAGAAAAAGCTTTTCCTGCTCAGACTCTTTCCCATAAGTCTGTGGACCATCTACAGGATGCATTTTATCATCTGGATTCAGTCAGAAGTTCACATCCCCAGGGCTGAGACTATAGCTAGACACGAAGTGGGAGGTTTAGATAAAATTTGTCTAAAGAGGATAAAGGTTAAGATTGAACATAATTTTTATTTTTCTCTGAATTGTATCAGCTTCCTAAATAATAGAATGAATTATTAAGAGACTGAAAGAAATCATACCACAGATGGAAAATAATAACAGTGCCTGAAGACCAGGTACTTGTCAGTTAATTACAGGGCAAGTTAGTGGCTGCTGGAGGACACCAGGACTAAAATTTCAACTCTTTCTTTCCATTTCAAGCTTCCAGTCACCCATATATTCCTAATATGCTTGATACATATCAAATCTCATCTGTCCCATTCTTGTGAATTTTTAGTGTATTGAGAAGTTATGCTCTTCTCTCAAGATACACAGAGTACTCCACTTTTATCCCAAGTACAGGTAAGCAGGCCCCTCCTGTAGTTCTCACGTGTCTAGTTGTCATTAAAAACTCTATCTGGGGTATTTCTGAAGCTTATCTTCAAAGGATATGATGATCGATGGTGGGCTTCTAGAAACACAGGTCAGACAATGATTGTGTCTTATATTAGGGCATCCAGCGTTGCTAATACTGTCCTAGATGGGGTATGGGTTAGGTTTTCTAATCAACTTGCTCTAAAGCATTCATCATAAAAACCTGTGATACACCCCTGAACCTGGGTAAGTGACCCTGGGATTTCTGGAACTTCTAGTTTCAGAATTAATTTACTCATAGAACTCAAGTGTTAAAATATTCCCAGTTTCTGAGCATTGCCTTTTTTTCTACCCCTTCTCCACCGTCTTCTCACTTCTTTCAAAAAACAAAACAAAACTTTAATTTCCTCTCTGCTACCACCTCCTCTTGTATTTAAACCCTAAAGAGCTCATGCTATTTTATTTCCCTGCACCAATATTAGAAGTTAAGAGCTCTCATGAAGTACGTAGGCTCTGGAATATCACAGACCTGCACATTCTTTAGAACGGCAAGGAGGAATACTTATCATATCCAACTGGTCAATAACTCCATTTTCTTTTGACTTCTTGCTACAGCAGTGGAAACACAGCACTGATTAAATTCCCAGAATATCACGTTATCTGTTATCAGTGCATGTGACAGTGAATGAGTATTACATCAGAAAAGAATCAAAATTTCCCTGTTCCTTCAAAGAGGATGAGTGAGAAGGAAAAAAGAGGAGGAATAGGAGAAGAATGAGGAGGAAGAAAAAAAGTTTTTTTAAAAAAAGACAGAAGAAAAGAGAAAGGAGAAAAAAAGAATAAAATGAGTTCTCAAAAGAGAAAATAGAAGAAAGAATGAATGACAAAATTTTCATTATGCTACAGAGTTCTTTAAGAAGCAGTTCTCAATTTCTGGACACTTTTACAGTGGTAATATGATGGACAAGCCTTATCATGAAACAGTAAGGTGACACTATGCTGTAGGTTTTAAAATAATAAAAGGCTGCCCTTACTGAAATATATGATAGGTCTCCTACTCTATGAGCTGTAAATGGGTACATTAAACTTGATGACCTGTTCAGGGCATACATTATTGTACACTCCATTATTGTTCCAGTGGTGGTGCTCTTGTTGAAACCCTGCCAGTTGACTTTTGAACATAGAGTCTGTCTAACCTAGTTTCTTATTCATTAAACAAGCTGCTCCCTCTCAAGCTTCTGGGTATACCTGTTATCTTGACTGGCCCCACATATGGTTGCCTTTGTCTTCCTACTTGAGCTTTCAAAGTCCTGGATGATCACATGGATTCCTACCAGATAAGAAAGCAAAACAAACTCACTGAACTCCCATGTTGAATAAGATAACAAATTCAGCTCACTTCACTGAAATCTTGTTCTTGGAAGATTGAACATCATTATTAGAATGATGATTGTAAGTGTCAATTTCCCAGCAGGATGGAGTAGGGATTCACTAGTTCCTTTCTGGGAAATTGGTTCTCCAAACCAGCAAAGATCCATGTGACTAGTCATTTCAGCTTTCCAGGGACTGAGACATTTCCTGGAATGTGGAAATTTCAGTACTAAAATGAGGGAAGCCCCAGGCAAACCAGGGGGAACTGATCCCCTTCAGAAAACCTCTCACCTCATCATCTCCCTCCTCACATGCTGATATGCAGCACACAAATGATCCTCTGAAATTCTCCAGAATCCAGCTTCCACCTTATTTTGTAAACATCAGTTTATGTAACCTGTGCCTTCAACAGGTACAAGGGAAGAGATGTGTCCCATTTGTTATTATGTCCCTGATCTGGTACATTGTGTGGCACTTAGAAGAGCTTTCTAACTGAGCCAGCTGAGCAATTGAGCTAAGCCTCTGCTGAGAGTCAACAGAATGGGGACTGTGATATCTTCAGGCAAAAACTGTATTTTCTGCAAAGTGCACACTCTCCCAGCCTCTCCAAATGGAACTTAGTTTGGACAGAAATAAAGGTGTCACCTGAGTATTAAACTATGTGGTTTTTAGAAGACATTTTTAAACACTGGCTAAGGGCAGAGCTTCAGAGTGAGACTAACCTGGGTCACCACCTAACTTCTCTGCACACCACTCTCAGCACCTGTGGCTCACACAATGCTGTTGAGAAGATCAAGTAAGACATCTGTATGTAGACTGTCCAGCTCTTCTTAGCTCTTTGCTAAAAACTTACATATGGTGCAGATCATTATTCTATTTTGAGTTTATTTCTAACACCAAGGGAGCAAAGATGTGAATCATTAGTAAATAATATATATAATGAGATCCAAGTTCTTTCTAAGCCCTAAGGTCACCATAGATTTTTTATTTTTATACCAAATGTCCACTTTTATGATTATGATACTCTGCCTATGCATATAATGGATACAATAATATAATTTAAAGTAAACATCACCACAAAGTACTATATGCACAGTGGTAGAGGTTGTATTCATCTCCCCATCCTCCTCATTTTATTGTTTAAACTTCTCATTACATGAGCCATTTGTTCAATTTTCACTGAACTTTTTCACAATCCAGAAAGTCATTGGGCTGGGTCAACCACTATAAAATTTTACTGCTCTCTTTGTTACTGCATAATGATTACTAAGAGTTAACGTTTTACTTTTCTTCTAAAATAAGGGATTTGCTTAAAGGAAGAAATCCCATTATTAGTACTAATGATGTTAAATCTAGTGGTTTACTACTCAAGAACTGATAAGTTATCTGAAGAAAGTTTAAAGTCACAAGTAAACCCTAGGTTATTGGTATAATATTACATTTCCTCCTTCTTCTCTTTTTGCACTTCTTTCTTATTTCTAATTACCTATTTGATGTCAATATACCCAAATAATATATCATTCTCTGTAGGTATAAATTTGAAACAACATGAAAATCATTTTTAATCAGGAATTCTTGAGTGCTTTATATTGTTATTTCTTTCAAAATGTTCTATTTAATTCTAAGATGCTGTGACAACAGTGATTTCTGATGCAACATATTCCTAAAACACAATACATCCTGCAAAAGCTTGCAATAAAAATAATAGAGCTTATGCAAAATAAAGAGGTAAGAGAAAACCACTCGGCATGCATGTAATTGTGAGAATACTAAGAAGGTGGTAGTGGCACTGTTTTTTAATCTTTCTGAATAAATTTTACTTAAAAATAAACCAATTAAGACATCAAAATACAACAATATTAAATAACAAAATATTTCTTGAATCCCAAAATCTGAGCAGGAGAGAACCACACACATTTGTAGTCTTATGACAAAATAAAGGCTGTAAGAGAGAAAAAAAGCTCATAACTGATATTTACTGTGACCACATATATGGTACAGTATTAAAAATGGGAAAATGAGACCACTTGAACAGCTGAATAAGTCTTCTGAGTATCTTAAAATTAAATGAAGAAATCAAAACATTTTACTACTGATTAAATTGATGCAAAATGCTAGCTAATGCCATATTTCATAGTAGAAACTCAAAAGAGAGCTAAGGCAGAGGGTGAAGGAAGAATGAGTATTTTTAAAAATATTAATAAAATACA